ATGACAAAGGGAGAACAAAGGGCGGGAAGGAAAAGGCAAAGGCATGGCGATCACGGGAACGTAGCATGCGGGTGTGGGAACGTATCTGCAGTGTCCAAACTGGGATGGGCTAAGAAAGGAAATGGTCCGAAAATGGAAGGTGGGCGTCAAGGGGAGGGGAATGGGCGGCAAAAAGGGGCGTCTGTCCAACGTCCGTGACATTACCCCCCTCCTAAGGTCCGTCGGTCCCCGATGGACCCTAGGCCAGGGCGTCGTCCGGAAGCCCATTCGAGTTCGGAGGGTGCGGCAGTGGTGAAGTTGACGAGGGGTTGCCAGGGAAGGGATTGGAAGATGGCGGCAGCGATTTGGCATGGGGCAGTGAGGTTCCGTTCATGAAATTCGTCGATGAGCTCTTGGCAATGAGTGAGGTCCTTTGCCGGCTCCCAGCTGTTCTGGCCTTCGTCATAGCCTTTCCACTTGACCAGGTATTGGAACTGGTTACGGTACATGCGGCTGTCTTCAATCTTTTCGACCTCGTACTCGAGTTCCCCTTCGACTTCGACTGGTTCTGGTGGGGGCGGAAGTATGCCGTTGACGTCGTTGCCCGTCCAGGGTGTGAGGCGATCAACGTGGATGACGGTGTGTCAGTTCTGCATGGAAGGGGGGAGTTGAAGTTGATACGTGAGTTCGCCCGTGCGTTCCAAAACTTCATATGGCCCAAGTCGTCAGGGTCCGAGCTTGCGACTAGCCTGATGGATAGTGACGTCCCATGAATCCATCCAGACACGGTCTCCAGGCTTGAACTCGTGGGGCTTTGGCTTGTCGCGCTCAAATGACTCCTTCATGGCGGCCTTCTCCATCCGAAGGGCTGCCTCCGCATCCTTTCGCACCTCACGCCACAGTTCTAAGCGCTTGTCCAGCGCGGGGAACTTGGTGGGGGCGCCGATGGGTACCGTGAAGTTGGGCTGGTAGCCGTAGATGATCTCGAAGGGGGAGACTTGGAGTCCGGAGTGGACGTGGTTGTTGAGCACAAACTCCGCGGTCGGCAGGTGGGCCACCCAGTCATCCTGTCGTAGGTTAGAGAAGAGCCGTAAGTGTTTCTCTACCTCCTGGTTTGCCCGTTCGGTCTGCCCATTGGACTGGGGGTGGTAGGCGGTCGTGAGCGCGTGCTGGATCCCAAACTTCTCGTACAAGGCCTTCATGAAACGTGCCGCAAACTGAGGTCCTCAATCAGACACCACCTTCTCCAGTACTCCGTAGAGACAGAAGATCTCGCGGTAGTGGATATCGGCAACTCCCTCTGCAGTAACGTCGGTCGTGGTGGGTAGTACGTGGACCTGCTTGCTGTAGTGGTCGCTATAGACAATGATCGTGTCGTATCCTTGTACCGGGGGAAGTCCAGTGATGAGGTTTACTCCCATCGTTTGCCAGGGACCTTCGGGTACGTCATGGGGCTGGAGCGTGCTTCGAGGATGACGAGGGGCTTTCCGGCGTTGGCAAGTGTCGCAGCCTTCGACGTACTTGCGCATGAACGTGTCCCGATGCGGCCACCAATAAAGGCGGCTGACCAGCTCGATCGTCCCATTCCGTCCAGGATGTCCTGCAGTGATCGTGTCGTGACACAAGAAGACGACCCGTTTACGAAGGTCTTTACCAGGGGGAATATAGAGCTTCCCATGCCGGTAGATAAGGTCGTTGCGCACCTCTCATTTCAGGAGTCCGAATGGGCGGCAAAAAGGGGCGTCTGTCCAACGTCCGTGACAGGTGCAGTTTTTTCCCAAGAGGGCGACGATGGAAAGTTCCACCCGATTGCGTACCACTCCGAATCCATGAACAATGCCGAACGGAATTACGAGATCTATGACAAAGAGATGCTCGCGATCATCCGTGCCCTGCAGGCATAGCATCACTACCTTGAAGGTCTCCCCTCCCAGTTTGAGATCGAGTCGGACCACAAGAACCTCGAGTACTGGAGGACGGCGCAGAACCTCACTCGCAGACAGGCGCGATGGGCCCTGTATCTATCGCGGTTTGACTTCGTCATCACCCACAAGCCTGGTGTCTCTAACGGACGTGCGGACGCGCTATCGAGACGACCGGACTATCAGCACGGTGATAGTGAAGACAACCTGGCTCGGATGGTGCTCCATCCCGAACAGTTCCGTATACTGGTGAGTCAACGGGGACACCTTGCGGTCGTACCGGACAAGGCTCTCCTGAAGCGCATCAGGGAGTGTCAGGACTTTGAACCTGCGGTCGTGGAAGCCCTGAAGCACGTGAAGAAGCTCGGCCCTGCAGCACTGCGAAACGACCTGGTCGATTGGAACATCGAACAGGATCTCCTCCAGTATCGAGGCAAGATCTACATTCCGAATGATCAGGAGCTGCGAACCGAGCTGGTACGGCTTCACCACGACTCTCCTCTGGCAGGACACCCCGGAGTTTGGAAGACAGTCGAGCTGCTGTCGCGCAACTATCACTGGTACGACATGGCTCAATTTGTGAAGGACTACGTACGGACTTGCGACACTTGCCATCGAGGGAAGACATCGCGCACGAAACCCTATGGACCGCTGCAGCCGAACGAAATCCCGGAGGGACCGATGCGCATCATGACGACGGACTTCATCGTTGGACTTCCCAAGGTCACGGTAGCCGGAGTCGAGTACGACGCCATTCAGGTCATGGCGGATCGGCACAGCAAGATGGTACACTTCGCTGCAACAGACGAGGAGGTCGACGCTGAAGGAGCTGCTTGGAACCTCATCCGCGATCACGTATGCCTTCACGGCGTTCCGCAAAAGATCATCTCAGACCGAGGACCGCAGTTCTCAAGCAAGTTGTTCCGCGCAGTCCTTAAGGGTC